AATCCATGCGTCAATATTAGGTATATAACAGTGTAGAAAGATTATTGGATATCATACTTATTTTTGTAAATATATCACGGAAATTATTTCAATTAAATGTGCAGTTAATTTCTTTAGTACATGGAAATTGTTAATGTTAAATCGATATATTTTATGTGCAAAATTGAACAAAACATGCATATATACAAACGAAAAAATTGAGAACTGTTGGAGGAATATATATTCCATAAAATATAAATTTACAGAACATTGTCCATGTTTTATTGTTAATCTCTTGAGTGGATATAATCTGCGTTTTAATTGTCTGTTATAAAATAAATATGCCGACTCATTATTCTGATATTGGTTGAATACTAGTTTGCGAAATATTCTCGACAAATATTGCATGTAAAAATCATTGGATTGCAGCCAAAAACACACTTAACGAGTCTAGCTATGTAACAATGATATGCAGTCAATGCTACAATAAGCTATATTATTCAGGCTATCTTGCTATAGATTTTTGTGTAAATAAGTATCAAAATTTTGAAAATGTACAGAATTAGATTATTATTTTTATATTTTCGTATTTATATTATATGATAATTTCAATAAATTTTAAACAACATACATAGAACACACATAGAATACAGTAAATATTTGTCACGTGATATATTTTTATGATCATCTCTATCTAATTAAAGAAATATTTCTTTAAATATGTTTTTTGTTATTTAGGAAATAAAATATGTAATTAGAAAGAGTAAAAAAACAGAAAGCAATTAATAACACTAAAAAATTATATAATTCAAACAAATCGCGTTTTTATTATGGAAATAATCTTCAAAATACTTGCAATATTATATATTGAGTAATTGATATACTAATAATAATAATTGAGTATGAGAAACAGTGAGAAGTAATTAACAAATGCGTTCTAATTTCTCATTATTTTATTACAAGTCGATTTGTTTATACAAGCTTAGATTTATTGTGATTTATTAGATCTTATAGACATACGTCATCCTCTCTTATTTCTCTTTTTCTATTATCCGCATTTACAAATGCGCATTTATAAGTACATTTTTTGCAATTGAAAGTGGTTCCATCAGAATTTCGCACAAACATGAGAAGAGTACTCGAATCCTAGCCGGGATGTGCTTGTAACGAACGAGCACAACGCGATTAAGTTAATTGCCTCTTTAATTAGATGGCACACAAACTTATGTCGGAAGACCCACCTTTCCACTCCTCCCGCGTTGCACAAATATTTAATTACAACGTCACACGTGCGGGATTACTCGAATCTCCTTTGCATACGCAAGACGCGGCTATACTAGTACGAAACGGGATTTGCGCGAGGATACCTGCACGCGCTCGATCTCTTTCTGCGTGCATAACAACAATATAACAAACGTCACAAATGCTTACGATTACCGGATTATCGTTGCATACGTTGCATACCATTCGTCGAACATATGTTGTCCAGCAAACACCGACAATTATTAATAACATCATTAAGATTTCAATTTAAATTATAATTGAACAGCCACCAACACATTTACAATAAATAGTTGTTGATGATGATGCTAATTATAATCATACGTTTGTGTCAATAATTGGACAATATTTAACAAACTGATTAATTACAAACTAAAAATTTGATTTATTAAATTTTTTTATTTTTAATAAATATAGGGATTTTTCAATTTTGTTAAAAAAAAAAATTATCGCAACTCTGCGCTATTTATCATTGCTAGGCAGTATTTGAAATATCATTTTTACTCGCTTAAATAAATATTACATTGATATTTAATTTTTATATTACTTGCTAAATATATTCTATTTAACAAATAACATAAAATGCAGCTAAATTAATTAAATATTGTATCATTTTTGCATGAATTGTTGTGCACAAAGCTGGCTACTAAAAATAATAAATTATTAGACTAACAATGTTTGTAAGCAAATTTCTTTTGTGTAAACCAGCTCTAGATTGAAAGGAGATATTTTAAAATTTTTATTACATTGTCACATGCGTATATAACAAAAAATTTTTTTCTTGTATTTGATTATTCTCTCAGAGCTGATTGTTGCAATTAGCAGGTGTGTCGATGTATCTTCTCGAATTCCGTACGCAACGATTGGAAATAGCAAATTGATAAAGGATGCACAAGGAGAGATATCGCTGATCCAGAAACGAAATTCAATTTGAAACCGACGAAAGATGCCACTCTCTCGCGCAAATTAGATCTGTCAAGGAAATCACGCGAATAGATGCACACGCGCACGCTATCGATACATGTAGGGTAGAAGTAACACGAGAGATTCGACGTACCCCGTTAATCCGTACGGCTTAATGCGAGAATCAAGAGAATGCAAGAGCACTGGTACATATCCAAAGGCAGTGAGACCCGCTTTTCCGTTGACCATTGGGGGTAATTATCGTGGCTACGGGGAAAGCTCTCTCACGCTCAAATCCCTTCCGGCTAGCTAGCTAGTGTAGGCTCGCGTCAATTCCGACCCTCTTAAAGGTCGGCATTGCTGTGCATACGGCGGGCCGCGACGGCAATAACCGGTAATTTTTCTGCAGCAAGATCTTTGCAGCAACAGCCAACCACCGTTCACTCCTTTTCTTCTCTTCTCGTTTTCACCCCCTTCGCCGCTCTTGCGTGTCGTTCCTGACGATGAATAAACCGAGCCTTCCTTTCGAAGACAAGCCGCGCAAAATAGAGTCAATTGTGAAAACGAGATCATTCGACACCTGTGCTCAATTTTTGCGCAAAAAATCTAGAACGCCGATTTGCTCGCGGACAGTATATATCGCGAAAGAATTTTCGGCAAACAAATCTTCAATTACTGATTAGTCATAATTATAAGTCACAGGCAAAAGATACCGAATTTATTAAATCACTTTTTTTCTATGGGTTTTTTACAAGTTTCTTTTAATAAAAATATATTAATTTCTTGTATAATGTACGTGTGAATGACAATATCTTATATTATCAAGAGGTCATCCACGTAATTTGGAGGATTTTGCTATATTTGAGAGTCATGAATATGCAAAATTAATACAAGTAATAATACGTATGGTCAATCTTTGCTAAATCTCAAATATATATATATATATATATATATATATATATATATATATATATATATATATATATATATATATATATATACATAGCAATAATATGTAATATAATATTTTATACTCTGATATGTGAATACTAGCGCTTTCTTGGGATGTTCTTGTGAACTATTTTATCCATTACACGTATGATACATACTATTCAGATCATTTATCATTGTTTTTGAAAAATATTTATTTTTTATCAATTTGTTACGTAAACTGCTTTGGTCATTGCTGTTTAAATTTTTCCATGAAAAATTTCAATTTTATATATTTCTCCTTTTATATATTTTTTTATTTTCTTGTCTCTACCTTTATCTTTTTCTTTTTTCTAAGACCCTGCTTTTTTTTGTTAGTAATTTTACGATTTCCAATTAAATTCATGTATTTCACAGAATCCTTGAATTACAGAAGAGATATCCAAAAATAGAAATTAGAAAATAAATTTTTTATCAACGATGAACCGTCATTTCAACCAAGAGTCATTATCAACTTTTATAATAAATAAACGTATGGTATTAAATTAATATTTATATATAAGATTCAGCAATTTATTTCTATTCACGCGATCAGCTACCACCAAATGATATCAAAGACTGTTATCATTCATTCAACTTGCTCTTTAATGTCGTGTAATTCAAGATTATTACAATATTCAAATTCATAAAAATCAAATCTAATAAATGTAAGTTATTAGGTATGCTTTGCATTTTAAAATAAAGACATTATATTCATTTAAATTCATCTTAATATGTCGACCACGTCGAGATGTGATTAATTCAGCACGACAGGATCACACGAAGCATAAAATCCAAATTACACGATGATACGGCGAATTCGTTCCCAAAGTTTCCATTCCCGCCCCATAAATTACATCTGCGAGGGTTTATCATAGAAATTGAGCTGTTTAAGTCTTACACTTTGACATAAAAACATTGTTTTTGGAAAAGTAAACGAACAACCGTTATTAACGTTAAATAGACGAAACATTGATAAGATGGAATCGATTATTAGATCGATGACGATGTTTAAAATTTATATAGCTATTGACCTTAGAGAGGAGGAATTCAAAGAGCAACATCTACAGAACATAGTGATTACTGGTGTCAAGGACTGCCGCGGGTGGAATGTATAATATAAGCGTACGCCACGACGACTTCGAACGCATGACTGAGTATAATAAAGTCTAATCACGTGGATGAGTGTTGATAATACTAACGTGTTTCACTGTAATCTGTTTCGAACAATATCGTTACGTAAAATGTTATAATTAACACATACAAGTACCCACACATCAAATACAGGTACATATACATAACGTGATTAAAATGTCTGAATTATTACTAACAAAACATCAATCTTATGTCTTGTTTGAATAATCGAATTCAACATAATTTATATTTTTATGAAATCAGTATTTTATATAAAAAATTGACTTTTCTTTTTTATTGAACTATATAGTAAATAAGAACTATACTTAGATACCTACAAAAAATTTATATAAAACATATTATCACAATAAAAACTCATTTTGGATAGGACATACTTTTTAGAACAATGATGTACAAAAGATATATTGTAGCAGATTTTTATATTAATAATAGTCAATTCGTACAATGGAGTATATTATATAATATTATATTATTACGTCGTACAAATTTTAAATCTAAAATACGTTCAAAATGTTTCATCCGATTTAGAACATCTATATATATATATATATATATGTACTAAAAGAAAAAAACCGTGCATATACCGCCAAAAATGAATCATATCCACTTCAATATAAACTAGAAGCATGTAATGACAAAATTAACAGTGGATATTAACAATATTTTTATAAATAATTCTTATAATGAAATATATATTTTTTAAAGTTGTAATTATTTTTTCTTAACGACACAAATAAAATAACGACACAATAATATTAATCATCACGGTAAACGTTTTCTTAATTCTTTTGCTAAGAAATTATTCGAGTATAAGTCAATTCGAATATTTGCAATCTAGATTGGCATCAGAAGATACGCTACTGAAGTTAACTACTACTTAAGATTAATCGTTTCGACTTCTTAACGGCGTCAGTGTTTTATGCGGTGAAGAAATGGGTGTTGAATGTACTATTCCTACATTTTCCTTGCCTTTCCAATAAGATCGCTTTTCCTCCGCTTTAAACTTTTCTATGGTCTTTTGCTGTTGTTCGATTAATCTGGTCTTGGTATGTAATTCCTAAAAAAATCATTATCTTTAATTAATTAAAAATACGAATATAAAATACATAAAAACACAAATATAAAACACACTCTTTCTCATTTATAATTATCACAAATTGTTCGATTCAACATCATGAGCATTGTATTGGACAAATAAAAACGCAAGTAGATTTACTTAGATACAAAAATATTTATTTCTATATATAAAATCCATTCTATAAAACATATAATTAATGGAATAATATATCATTAGATTGGAATATTATTTACATGATAATTAAAATGTACATTAATCAATATTTTTTGCCACAATTGAATAACGACAAATAATTGCATTATTTATCGAGGATGCTCAAAAGTGTAAACAAAATTGACGCCTTTTCCGTTGCTAATAATACATTCCGCGTTAAGACATCATTTACAACACATAATATACAAAAATTGAAAAGACCAGAAATAAGATAAACCAACTTGAATGTTTGAGAATCTTTTGAACCATTCGGAATATATTTTTGAAGAACAAACACACCTGTTCCTGCTGGATGATCTTCTCTTTTAGTTGAGTTACGTGTTTGATCCTTTGTTTAGGATTCTGGTGACCAATTACATCGACATATTTTTCACTAATTTCCTCATAATCCTTCTTGAGACGATTGTTTAATTCTGTAATTCTCTTGACCTCCCTGCACAAACAATAGCCGTTATTTTTCGAATTTGTAATTAAATATTTGTATCAAATTCTCACTCTTCTCACTCACTCTTCAACTTCTTCGCGCCGCATTCTTTCTTCCTGAAGTTTTTGTGTAAGTGTATTTTCCAAGGTTTTCCGCTTGATTTGTTCTTGCTCTAATGAGAGAGCATTTTCCTGTAACAAAATATTTTATTGCTTGATAATATTCGTTTAATAAAGTTTAATTTGCCCAATAAAACTTTATAATTAAAAAAAAGAAAGAAAAAAATACCTCTGTATATTTTTTTTTTTCTTTGAACAATTTAACTTTTTCAGAAAGTTCTTCTAACCGAGAATTTGCCTGTAAATATTCCACATATGTATTGATAAGTTCGCATTGCTCAGAAATTTATCATTTTAATATTATGTATATCTGAACTTACCTCGTCTATAGCGGTTTTATGTTGCGTTGCTTGAACTTGAAGTAATTGATTACTTTCTTTTAACGCTTTCTCTTGATTCCTTAATTGCTCCAACAGTTTATTATTTGTCAGTTCCATTCGTGAAATATCGATCGCCTGAACATCATTTCGTTCCTCTAATTTAAGTAATAGATCCTGCGCGTCATTAAGACTTGCAGACATTTCATCAAGTTGTTTTTTTAGCTACAATTAAAACACAACTCAAATAAAAAATATGTATTATATGTGTTTTCAAATAAAAAAATTAATTTTGAAGAAAATTTTAATACCGTTGTCAATTATGAAGATTATCTCAAAATAAATGCAATAATAAATGTAAAATTACCTTATTGTTTTGAAGAGATTTTTCCTCAGAATCATTCTGAAGTCCAGCGATTTCCTTTGCTGCTTTTTGTTTCAAATTCTCGATTTTTGTCTCAAGAATAGATTTTATCGACTCAAATTCGGATAAATTACCAGTTTCTAATTGTTCTACCAATTCTCTGTGAGCATTTAATTCTTCTATTAAGACATGAACTTGTTCATGCACCATTTGAGAGTTATTACGCATCACGCTAAGCAGATCTCTGTGTTCGCGTATGCAATCTTCATCACGTTTCAGTTCATGCTGTAATCTTTCGACCTCAGCATTGCTCTGCGCCAAGCGATTAGTAAGTGCGACAACAGATGCTTGGTTTTCTGCCATTATTACTTCAAATCTAAATATTTAAGATAATAAAGTAATTTGTTTATAATTGCTTATTTGAAATAAAATAAGATGAAAAATCACATGTTATGAAAATAAAAGTTATTGATACTGACCTTTTCTTTCTAGCAACCATTTCAGCCGCTTCTGCTCTAATATAATCCTTTAAACCTCTCAATTCTTCTTTCTTCTCCGCCAATTCAGTTTCTGCTTTATCCAATTCAATTTGTAAACTTTGACTAAAACTTTCCTAAAAATCAGTTTACCATCACAACATCATGTTACGAACAATGTCAGCAGTTTTAATGCCATGATAGTCACCTGAGTTTCCGCGGACAATCTTAACTCCTCAAGCGTCGCGGAAAGCTTAGTGATTTCAGCATCTTTCTGCGAAAGTTTCTGATCTAGTGCAGTACGCTCTGCTTCCATATGAGCTAAACACGCTTTGTATCTTTTAATGGCAAGTCGCATTTCATCTTTCACGGTGCTCTGCGCATCTTTGATCATAGTGTTGACCTAAATAAGAATATTATTTTAATATCCGCAAATACGTCGCTTCAATATAATAGAAATTTTCTCAAACATCACAGAAATCCCATTAAGAAAGAGAGAAGGAAACAATATCTATAGACAAACATCTAGACAAATATTTAGAGTGTATTTCATTTTATAACTTTATCAACAAAGTGTATAACATCCATAAAATATTCGCACGAGTGTTGAAGAAAAACGAGTAATCAATCAGTGATGTTTGGCATTTTACGCACATGTGACTCGCTTACTTTCGTGTCGCATTCCACCATCACTTTTTTCACCCGTTCTTCGCTTTCAGCGCGACATGCTGCTAATGTTTCCCTTGTAGCAGCCTCCGCATTGTCGATCATTTTTTGCGCACGTTCCGCCACACGCTTGGTTTCTTCTTCTACCTTTTTGGCGGAAGTTTGTTTGAATTCGTCTAATTCTTTATCTTTCATTATTGTAATCTATAGAGTAATATATAACAGTTATTGAAGCTAATTAGAAAAATACATCCAATGTATTGTATTAATAGAGTTTTATATCGCCGTACATTTTCCAATTCTTTTAAATACTCTTCTTTGGTATCCTCCAATAGTTGCTCCAATTTCAACTTCTCTTCAGCATGTGTATTTAATGCTTCTTTCAAATCTTTCTCATAATTTTGCACAGTAATAGTGTGATTCTTGTTTGAAATTTCCAATTGTTCTCGAATCTCTTGCAAACATTGACTCATCTAAAGCGTGAATGACAACCAAAATTTAATAAAAATTTTTATTGCATAATTAAAATAATTATTCATAATAAATTACATATAGAGGATACCTACATCTCTGTAACGTATGTGAAAATCTTTTAGTTCCTGCAGAAGGAAAGAATTTCTTCTTTCCATTTCATTCACCTTCGTTTTCGCTTCTGATTCACGTGCCTTATAAGTTTCATTTTCCATTACAAGTTCTTTCTTTTCTTTCAGAAAAACATCTTTCAAATGTTCAATTTTTTTTTCGTGTTTGTCGGTGAGATCGGAAATTCGCTTAATGGAATCATCGGCAAGTTTTTCATATTCCGTTTTAAGTTCATCTAATTCGCATTGTAAAGCAGATAACTGAGCCTGAAGTTCCAAAATAATATTCTGTTTTTTTTCTGATTTAGCTTCAAGATTGGACCGTTCTTGAGTTAAATCCGTGATACAAAGCTCGAGTTGACATTTTTCTTTTTGTAATAGTCCAATTTCGGTATCACGATCGCGTTCTACTGTTTTTAACGAGTTTAGCAATTCTTCGATGTGTGTTTCAAGAGTCTCAATCTATTAAAAAAAATATTATGATAATGTTACACTTGTAAAATAAAATAAATTTAATTTACCTTTATTTTATTCTCCTCTTTTATGGCGCTCAATTCATCCTCCAATATTGATATTTTTCTTGATAATTCAAATGTACGATTTTTAAGTTCCGCTTCCACTACTTTCCGCAATGAAATTTCTTGCTCTTTTTCTTTACACATTTCTAATAATTCAGAACGAAGAATCTGCAGATGTTCTTGATTCTTGTCATCATGATCATTTATTATAGCCTGTTGTGTTTCAGCCTGCAATTAAAATGCAATATATATATTTGTAAAAACAAGATAAAAACAAGATGAAAACAAGATGGTATATTGATCCACAATAAGTAGTTTCTACTCGGAAATATTATAATAACCATTTTTTCCATCTCTTTCTTGTGTTGCTCTTCTATTGCAGCTTGTTTCGTGTGCAGCTCCTCCAATTCAGCTTCTAATTTCTGCACATTGTCTTTCATTTCCTCGATGTGCTTCTCATGTTCCTGTATAGTCTTATTCTTGTTCAAACACTCTACTCGTAGATCCGCAAGTTGCTGGTTAGATTCATATTTCATGTTCTGACTTCTTACTAAAGATGTGTGATCATTTTTTGATTTAGGACAATTCAGTTTCGTGACTAACTGTTTCCGAGATGTTTGAGGCTACATAAAAATATAATTAAATTAATAAACGTAATTTAATATTTTATTTTTAATAATAATAATTTACTTTAATACATGTCTAAAAAAATTTTTTTTTTATAAACATCTCTATTTAGATATGTTCCGTACTATTATATTATTTAATAAAAAAATAACATAATATTCGCAATCATATTTAAAATCGTGTACAAATTTACGAATTAATAAATAATAATTTAGAATTTTATATAATATTTTATCTCATAATAATAATCAAACAATCAATAACCAAAGCTTTATTCCAGTGATATTTTATAATTGAATTTTAATGGACAAAAAAGTGGTTCTTACCGTTCGAAAAAGAGGAGTTGACATAGTAGTACCATTGCTCTTTGCCGATGCAACTGATGCATTACATTCTGAACTACACAAACTTTTAGTATCTAAAAATCTGTCAGACTTTTCAATAACTAGTCCTTTTACTTTATTGTCGAATTTCGGATCATAAGCGCCTGGCGGAGGTGCTTCACCTGCAAAAGCGTGCATATAAATTAATGAATAACATTGAAATAACATATAATAAGTGTGTTTCGTCAATATAAATCTCTTTTTCATTTAACATTATGCGCTTATTAATAATATCAATATCCGTAATTAGTAAATATTGTACTACACTGTATCTTAATGCTTCGAGAAAGATTACACCGTCTCTGCAATCTTAATTTTGCAATTTCCAAGAATACAGAAGAATAAGAATTATTGATGCTAATAGAAATACACATAGAATGAAATATTAAGTGATTAAAATCAAAGATTTTTAAAACAAATTCCTAATATTTAGAAGCTTAATAATATAATATAACAAACTTTTGTTTATTTCCAAATTCAATGGATCGTTCTAAATATGATGAAAGTATCTGTTTTCGAATAATTGTATAATATCGATATCGAGAAAAGCATAAACAAAAAAAGAAAAAAAAACGGCGAGTCTAAATAGACTTTCTTTTGGCGCGCATATCATGCCTAGGGAGAAGCAGGCGCAAAGGGAAAGACAGCTGTTCTGAATGCAAAGGACACATATCTCTATGGGGTCGTAGAATAACCAGGTGTAGTCGACAACGTTCGCGACGAGCGTTGTCGACCACCCCATCGCCCCATTGTGTCCATACATGATAAAACATCTTCTTGTTTTATTGTCTGCCGCGCGCTTTCCCCGCGGAGATTAATATATGAAATTTAAAGGACTCTAGACTGAGATAGTAATATATAAAAAATAAAATGTAAAAATGTTGAGGAATATAGAATATATTTTTTTATTTACTTTTTATTCTAACATCTACCTACACAATGGAATAAAAATTACGAGGAGTAAATACAAGTAGAAAAAAAAATAATAATAAAAAGATATATTAGGAAAAAAAAAATGTATGATAAATACACCGAGAAACAGAGCAGCATTTAACATATTCATAATAATATATTCAGAACTATTTGCATCTATTTTTACATTATAAAAACAGTAAATACTGAGTAAATTATTATTTAATATAATTTATTATGTATCAATTAAAATTATATTCTACATACAAAGTAGGTCATTTCTAATTATTCAATAAATATAACTTATTTGTAAAAATACAAATTACATATATGCAAAAAGTCATACATAAAAAAGAAAATGCAAATGCATCTTATAAATATTATCATTTTCTTATGTAAATATTTTGTATTTATCATATTTTTCACAATTTTGATTAATATGTTATATGATGTGATCTTTCTTAAAATATTAGTTTACTTTATGGTAAAAAAAATTGAAACTTTCGAGCACAGTAAAAAAATGATATAAAGCACAAGCCAGTTAAAATCCTTCTATATTTTATATGGAATGATATAGAATTCGATATTGAGATATTTTCCCGCCATAATATCATAGATACATACGATTATGCATATGCTAAATAATAATAAAATAATATTAGAAGAAATTCTGTAAAAATTTTAGCTCATTTTACAGAAATGTAATGCAATGAAAATTTATCTAATAAATTTACTTGTACATGAACAAAAATATTGTATCAACAGGGGATTTAATATAATTAACAAAACTTATTCTCACAATATTCATTAAAACAAATTTTCATAAATTTAAATTAATTAATGATTTCATAAAAGCAACATATATATATATATTAGTTACAATTATAGATATCGATAAAAAACTGCCAAAATGTTGCTGTACTGCTATCACGATCAGAAATCATGAGCAACCAAATCTAGAAAAGGCACACAGAAATAAGCAAGGAACCACTAATAAAACCAATAAAACTAATCAACTACATCGATCAATGCAACAGATCAATATTTGTTGTTAATAACTTACTTCCAAGTTCGTTAAACCGTTGTATCTTCGCTTTCGAAAAGGACATATTGACGTATCGTATGTTTATCTGATCTTAAATCAACAAACTCTCTCTTAAAAAATTCACTCCGCAAAATTGTCACGTTTTGAAAACGCGTAATAAGAAACCACAACGACCGTTGCACTGGTCAACGTTTCTGCATTCCTCCACTTTATGATTCTCCTTCCACAACTCGTACCCCGCTGTTGCGAGGGAAAAGATGTACACTCCACACGATCACACTGAACACTGCACGCTTTCAGACACAATACGCTGCCCGTCGCATCGGTTATTTTGATTTGAAATGACGGTTACCGACTTCGAGCACGTCAGCGATTCGTCGTGTGCACGTTGTGCAAGCGACCAATCAGCGTGCGTGAGCCATCGCAATAATGCAGATTTTTTTATAAATATAAAGAGCAAATAATGTTAGATTTATTTTTTAAGCTATATTTTCTGTAATTGCCTTTCTTTTTCCATCTGCAAAATGATAAACATGTGCATATTTTTTTCTTTTAAAGATAAAGGAATTCACAAAGATGTCCGTAAAAAGAACAGACCTTTACCTCTATATTCTACAGTAATCGATACACAATACGATCATACGACTCTGCGAATGTCATTGCGGAAACGTGGATGTAAACCTGATAGAAGGGAAAACGTATAATTTTCATATTTAACGTCTTCAACATTTTGTAAAATTTCAATACTGTTGAAAAGCGCACGCGTGTTCTTGCACATACGTGCACATTAAATGCCACGTTGTATCCGATAACCAATAGGACTTTGAACGAACCAGATGCTAATGTATCACCGGTAGAAGAAGTTGTCGGTCTTGTCAAATCTCGTAGCATAATACTGCATAACACTTCATTCGCAATGAAGTCTAAACTCTACATTGCATTTTTTATTCTTTCTGTTATAAGCTTAAGCTATGTCGCCTGTCAATACCGAACAAAAAACGTAAGTTGAGATTTTTTATTCATCAGTATTTTGCAGACCAAGTCTGCAAATATTTCAAAAATGTTATCCGTTATCTCGCAGAATCAAGGTTCCTCCTTAGCAGAACGCATGCAGCAATTAATGGAAATGGCTATGAAGAGATCGGTACTAAAATTTAATGGACCGAAATTTAAACAGTATATTAAAGCTACTCCAAGAAATTATTCTGTTATAGTTATGTTTACTGCCATGGCTCCTCAAAGGCAATGTCAGATTTGCAGGTAAATCGACGTTTGTGTTTGTGCTTGAAGAGATTACTGTAGAAAGTGGATGTGTCTAACAATTGAATATAATTTTAGGCATGCCAATGATGAATTTACAGTAGTAGCCAATTCATTTCGGTATTCTCAGGTATACTCCAATAAATTATTCTTTGTTTCCATTGATTTCGATGAAGGATCAGATGTATTTCAATTGGTAAGTACAAAGTGTTTACAAAGATATAAGAATGGCAATTAACATAAAAATGTATTATTATAGATGAGATTGAATACTGCTCCAGTATATATGCATTTCCCACCCAAAGGAAAACCAAAAGCTGCTGATACTATGGATATTCAGAGGGTAGGGTTTGCTGCAGAAGCAATAGCGAAATGGATTGGTGAACGCACAGATATTCAGGTAAAATTTTAATTGAGTTACGTTATATTAAAATTATAATTGATATTTGTCATAATATTTGGGTCGATTAAAGTTTCTTCATATTTTTTATTCATTTTTATTAAGAAATTTGAAGGAACTTTCCTTATTATATTTTATTTTATCATGTTTTTGTAACACTAACACATTTTATTATGAATTATAGATCAGGGTATTTAGACCACCAAATTACTCTAGCACGGTAGCAGTAGTAATGTTGTTAGTTTTCATAGGAGGTTTCCTGTATCTTAGACGTAACAACTTGGACTTTATCTATAATAAAACCATTTGGGGACTTGGTGCTTTAGTAAGTATATTTTCTTTAATTATTTTGTAACTTTTTGTATATTCTTAAATAATCCTAATTTACTTGTTTTTAGTTTTTCACTTTAACTATGACTTCTGGACAAATGTGGAATCATATTAGAGGGCCACCTTTTGTTCATAAATCACCTAACGGCAATGTAGCTTATATTCATGGATCTTCTCAAGGACAGTTTGTATTTGAAACATATATCGTTATGATTTTCAGTATCCTTTTACTATATTCAAAAATTTAAAAAGCTATTTACATAAAGATGCAGAAAACTGAATTTGCATTTTATATTGTGATATAATGCCTTAATTATGTGTAAAAAGATGGTGTAGTGGTGTTGGGAATGATTCTAATGACTGAAGCTGCAGCTCGTAAAGGTGATGTCAAGAAGCGCAGAATATTCGCTGTGATAGGTATGGGATTAGTCGCAGTTTTCTTTAGTCTTCTTTTATCAATATTCAGGAACAAAGCTCAAGGCTATCCATATAGGTATGTGTTATAAATTTTATCTACAGATTAATATAAACAAATCTTATTTCGAAGCATGATGATATTATTTGAAAAACTGATAAATTTTTAATAATATTATCATGCTTTGAGTTTTTTCATTATAAGAACTTTTATTACATTCATATTCCAGTGAAGAATAACTTGTTTGTTTCAGCTTATTATTCAAGTAGCTAACAGGTGTAAAAAAGAACATTTTCATATATTCTCCATTAGAACAGAAAACATTTGCAGGTTGATACAGAATATGAAACTAAAAAGATTTTTTACAAATACAGGCTGAAATGTTATATTGTTGTGAATGCTATATCATTATATTCATTATATTGTATAAATAATGTAAAAGAATCCACATTTGATATTGTTTTTTAATAAAGAACTTAACCTAACCTAACCTAACAAATTGTGGAAACAATATATGGAAATTTATATTTAAACTTATACGCGTAGAAAATTTATTAAATCTCTATCATTAAATTTTATCACAATTATCAGCATTATATAACAATGATTATTAGAACTGGTATATCGGTATATTTCTTGTGATTTATTTATGAATTTAATTATTTGATTTCTTACCATACATACGGAATTAAAATCTTTCTTTCTTTTGGGTAATTTTTGAAAGTGTCATGATACCATTGGTGAGATAAAAATGCAGTTTCCACCTAAAATAACAAATGATTTGTATTGTATTGTCGAAGGGAGAAAAGAAACGTACAAAACTATTTAATACCTGATTTGTTATAACCCAAATAGTGACATAATGATACGTAGAAGCTTGCCAAAGGATCCCAGATAACATTAAGTATACAAATATTTCTGTAAACTGCAATGGAGCTGATGTATACTTAAATAATCCATCAACGGGTATTCTGTACTTGTGAGATACAATATCACCGTGTTTGTTTTTACGCAACTTTGCAAGGATAATATTTGTTTTAAGCTGCATATATGACGACCATAGAAATATAGTCACATAAATTATTGTTATAACCGTCAGTTTGGACAAGGATAAATTAATGCGCGAATCTGCATTTAAAAAGTATATATGAATTATGACAAATATTGGTATATTTAATATTTATAAATTTTTGAAAAAAATTATATAAAATATACAATATAATATACATCTTATATACACTCTGTATATATTATTTATATATATATGTGTATATATATGTATGTATAAAGTACATACCTTTAACAAATCCTTCAGATTCACCTACTATACAAAGAAGTGTTCCTATATAATGTATGTGCCCAACCAAATAATGGAGTATATTCATCTTTTGATCACTATATACATTAACATAACATGTCTCATATGCTCTTTTCCAGCAATGTATATTAAATATGACAATGGCTAGAATTACATATTCGGCTGATACTAAAAAAATAATGAATTGTATATCTGTATATCTGCATAAATTTTTATAAGATAATAATAATAACCAGACAAAAGAAAGGCATACTTAAAGGTTTTCTTGATGTTCCTAATGATGTATCCAATAATATAAATACAATTTCAGGTATATTTCCATTATAGAGATATTTGTAAAGAATCAAGCACAGTATAATAGTCGAGGCTGGTCCAGCAAAAATATAAAAATGTCTAAACCATCTAAAAAAAGTTAAAAAATAATTAAAATTAACTATTTGCATATAGCATGATTGTGCTGTACTCATTTCATGTCGAAAACCGCATTGTTAATATTACAATTTGACAAAATTTTACTCAAATCGAAAACTTCTGCTTTCATAATATCGATTTTATTATGTAGTTACTTGGCATGTTTGACATGAAACAAGAGAAGCTTGATTACATTGTTTAGCACTTTTTCATATAATAGTTTTCCTAATAATTTTATTTCTAATAATAATAATTTTTAAATACTTTTATAATAATTTAAAAAAAGATTAGTTTTGATATACTTTGTCGATATATTATTGAACGCGAATGATATGCGACAAAACTAATTCAAGTATATCCATTTCTGGATTGTATTCTGAATTTTTGTATCACATCTTGTAAGAAAAACAGGATTGTTAGGATTTTATTTTATTACCTTAAAATATTTTCTAATATTTCTAAAAATCTTTAACAATATAAATTATTGTTTAAGTACAATAGACTATACTATTTTTGTGAAAATGTATATTTCTGTAAAAAATAATTTATTTTTAATTTACCTTTTGGGTACTTCAAGTTTTGCTACTAGAGCCTGTTGCACTTTGATGCTGAACTTGCCATAACGAAAAAGTCGCGTTATCAATATAGGTAAATAAGGTTCGAAACAATTAATTAGTATTCCGAATGAAAGAATAATCATCGAATTCAAAATAAAAACGTAGCGTATAATATTTATATCCATTTCTGGATTTGTGCTTTAACGTTCGTTAACAACAAACGTAGCTATGTATGATCGACGTTTGCACCATTTTGACGTTCAGAAGATACTCTCCTCTTGGATTAATTCGCCAAGTAACACTTGTTACTCCGTGCTCAGTATAACATTCTCTTCCACTACCATATTCCATGGTCTGTGTTTTTTTCCCGCTTGAAAAATATTGCACTAATTTACATACTCGTCAATTTTACTTTTAAAGAGGAGATAACGCGCTTCTGAAATTCGCAAATATGCAAGAATTATTTTTCCTTACTGGCAGTTCAAAACCCAATAAATAAATTCTAGCAGATAACAAATGCGTAATCTTCTTCTGACCAGATAAAGCAGCACATTAGCTGTATTGTCTTTCTTTAAGCACATTGAATGCCTTTATTTTTGGATATGGTAGATGTATACAAATACAAATATAAATATTTGAGAGCTGTATCGCGTTTCAGTATGTAAGGAATTTGTGTCTGAGTATTGTCAGAGATATTATCCCACTAAAATTTTTTTGATATTTTTGATTTTTGATTTACATTTTTCATAATTTGTATTTTATTAATAATTAAAACTAGATACTCTCTATTATTAATTATATATAATAATTCTAATTAATTTTATCGGCTTAGATATTGTATTAATTGTGACATATAATTAATAAAATATAAGAAGTATAATATAATTATAATAGAGAAAGAATTATTTTAATTATTAATAAAATAAAAATTATTTTAAAAGAAAAAGAATTTAACAAGACCTTGCCAATCTTCAGTGAAATTGCGGAAAATAGACGTTTATTTCGAAAGTCAATTGAAAGTAGCACATCCCACTTCTGTTTTAGAAAGTGCACTTCTGCCTTAGCTAACAGTACATTTTTCTACAATTCAGGTCACTGTAACAGTATAAACGTTAGTAAAAATAATGTAAATGTAAAATATAAGATCGTTAGTAAAAATAATGTAAATGTAAAATATAAGATTGCGTGAAAAATTAGCGTTTGGCCTTATTGTCCTCCATTGAACTGAAACTCAATTCAATGATGTAATTTTGTTCACAAATATGTATGACTAAAATATATCTCGAATAACGTATAAAACAATGTCAAAATCTCAAATTCAGAAACACAAGTCTTGAAATAGTCCTTTTAATAATTATATATTTTTTAAGATTTTGACATGTCTTTAAAACATACAAATTTTTTCTAGCTTATATTTATGGCGATCCTTAAAAAATGTTAAGTTCAAAAATCTTCAAAATAAGTTTTTTCTCCTTATGTATGCTTGTAAACTAAAATATACAGAAGATAAAATATAATAAAAGGTAATTTTATTATTAATGGACGGATAGTTTTACAATAAAAATTATAATACATTTTTAACTCATATGTTCAGCAATCAGCATAATATCAAGCTTTAAAAGCTCTAATAAAATAGACATTTTCCAAGAAATAGATTTCTCTCTCTCTCTCTCTCTCTCTCTCTCTCTCTCTCTCGTTATTTTTTTACAAATATTAAATTTTTTAAATTTAAATATCTCAATAATTCTCACTCTTAATGTGTTTGTTAATTTCTTTAAATTTAGCAAATTACATTTTTATAAAACTTGAAACAGAAATGAAGAAAAATGTATTAAATCCTTCATATATGTATAATGTATATTTGTGTGTATAAAACTAGTAATTTGTATATAGAAATTCTTTATAAATAAAATTTAACTTTTTTTGTTTTAGTTTGTATTACTATTTAATACTATCTCTATACAGTTACTATAAAAATATATTTAAATCCGATATACACACAAATAGAATGCTCATATTAGGGATGTCTTTTAAATCCATCGTGTGCACAAACTTCTATTCTGAAAATTAAACTATTATGTTGTAAAAAATCGGTTACATCGCATATGCGTACAAATTCGGTATAACCGAAACTACGTCTATTTAATTCGCATGTTGGTTTTCGGAAAGCTTCGAGATCGGGTTTGGATGATGTTACTGTGCGTATATTTTTTTCTGAATCTTGCGGATGTACTAACACAAAGTACATCGTGCCATTAAATGGCCAGTCCAAAGCATCATCATTCTCCGATTTCATAATATGCAAAAGAAGAGATAGATGATCAGAATCCTTAGAGGATACATTGATCCTAGCGCAGATTTTATATCCATTTGGACTTGTATAAAACCCCGGACTATAGAACATTTTTAAAGGCTCTTTAATCATAGCCACGAGTTTTTCTTGGAAAGATTTTAGCCTCCATATGTAAACCCCATTACAATTTCGGAGACACATTGCTGCAAGCTGATTCTTTTGATTAGATACCGTTATAGAAAGTTCTCGATTTTCCTGTTCCAAAACTACTATCCTTTCATACAGGTTTCTAAAAACAATATTTACAATGTTTGTATGCAGTTTAACACTAATATGTAAGCATAATAAGCATAATATTTATAAAATCATATTTAGAATACTTGAGCAATTCTTGCCAATCAGGAGTTGGTTCTTTCATGTTTGAAATCTGTGCCCCATTCTTTGGAGGTGGATCCCATAATTTTGATTCAGCGGACATTGCATTAGTGGTATTTGGTACTGTCAAAAAATTGTAGAAATATATTAATAAAAACTGGAGCAATTTATATTTTTGACTGTATGAAATATACCTTGAGATTCTGAAAGATTTCTTCTATATATACATTGATCGGTATGTGTCTCCATATCCACAGGAGATAATTCTACTTGACAACCAAATCGCTGATAGATACATGTTGTAAGTTTCTGGGATATCTCTCTTTTAGTGTAAAGATCTCTGAAGAGATCACTCTCAGATTTCAAAGGTCGACTGTCAACTGGACAACAAGCACCTTCTTTCCTAATAATTTATAATGAACAGTCAATTTATATTCAAAGATAAAGTCTTGACTAAGTAAACTATGACTTACTTAAGCCAAGCATAGATGCATTGTGAGCAGAACTTATGTCCACAGGATGTTAAAATTGGATCACGTAGCCATGTTAGGCATATGGGACATTCAAATCTAGGCTCTAGGTGTTCTTCGACACTGTCACCATTCTGTGTGCAATAAAATTATAAATGGATTTACAAATGAACGACTGTATTAGTATAAAACTTAAAGCAAGTACAAACACAAAATTGTGAAGATTAGTGACAAAAATTAATTTTGACGCCTGACAATGGTTAGAAATTGATTTCTTATTTGACAAACAACTGTAGCTCTTGGATCGCCATAAATAACAAAACTTTCATATTTTATAAAATTGCAAAAGGAATACATACCGTTTCATTTTCCTTCATGATCTGAGCAGGCGCAGTTGCGTTATTCGATGCTTCCATAATCTACAATAAGATACATTGAAATGAAATACTTAATCCGACCATTAATTCGCTATAGAATACCATACTAATAGATTACAATAGTTACATTGATGTCATTACAATGCGATGAATTATTATTCATTCTATTATATATGCAAAGTGCCACAATGTTTTGTTAGAATTACTGTTGATAACTTACTATACAAACTTCGAGCAATGTCTGAAGATTTTGTAGCTGATTGTCACTTTATACATATATAAGATGAACATTACATTACACTTACAAAAATTATTGCATGAGAGCTAATAAAGTCCAAGCAAGAATTGACAATACCTAAATCATTAACAATATCTAAAGATTCATTAATTTTCACTAATTCAATTTCATACAATTTACGAAATTCCTATTACGTTGATCTGATCTTCTTTATCTTTCTATTTCAGATGTAATAGCCTCACATTTAATTTGATATACTTAATAACAAAACATCACAAAAGCAATCATAAAACACTTGCGAGTAGTATCTCTATCATTTCATCCACTTCTGTAGCCATTTTACATTGAAGTATATGCCATCTACTGCAAGTTAATCAACACATTTAGGAAATCTTGTAATCTACACATGGTATATTTTTGTAAGAGTGTGTTGTTACGTCTGGTCACTAGACGTGTGTAGAGAATTCTGTAATATCGACTATTAGCGCGAAATTTGAAATGTCTCCTTATTTTTTAGTCACCCTGCATTCACCGGGTTTACTAGGGATACAGGAGGTAACAATCTATCGTATGAAAAGGATATGAATAAAATCAAATAAAATAGATTAAATTAGCTTACCTAATTTTAATTAGGAGCAAAGCCTTATAGATACGTCTTAATAATGCAGATATTACACTGCTAAATATAAACCAAATAACTCAGTGTTTTCAACTGAACAATGCAGAGAAAAATAGTATATAGAACTTAATATGACCTAACAGTGAGTCTGCTGGAAGAGAACTGTCTCACGAGCGATGATGTACGTTGGTCCTCTTGTGGTGGGGAGTAGGCCCTCGAGAGTATCGCATAGATTTTTAATCGTCACATCGGCTTCTTGATACGTTGGAATATCGTTTGGCTGGAAGTTGATATGCAGCTCGTTTTCGTTTATAGCCGACGGATAAGATGGGTGTCTGGTAACCTTTGCTTATTTTATTCTTATCTCTTCACTTATTTGTTCAATGCATTGTTCAATTATACAGTATTCTTATAGCTATAGTATAATTAATATTTTTATAACTAATGATACACAGTTAACACTAATCATAACTTCAATCTTGCTCTTTGGATGAATTTTAGATGGACTTGTACAGATCTCTTTAATAATGTTCTGTTCATTGAATTTTACCATTGTCGGGACATCACAGTGTTACTGCTTCTCTTATGATAATAGAACAACAAATACTGATCGATTATTTTCTTATTTTGATTTTATTTTTTTATGTTTTCAATATAACATAAATATAATAAATATAATGTACATATATATTTATTTTTAATAAAGTTAACATAAGTTCAAAAAACTTATGCAAGAAACTATGTGTTAAAAATACGTTTTGCTCGCTGACTATATATCAACGCCAATATTTGATTTTTTTTGTATTAGGACTAAGTTAATGTTCAATTGATTTATTTGTCATGTTCATCAAGTTACCAGATAAAAGGAATTAAAATTTTCCTCTCTTTTGGATAATTTTTAAAAGTGTTTTGATACCATTGGTGAGATAAGTATGCAGTTTCAATCTACGGAAAAAAAGCAATTAATTGTTTGACTTTAAAACAAAAAATACAAAATTATTTTATACCTGATTTAATACAACGAATATTGTAATGTAATGGAACGTAGAAGCTGGCCAAAGAATTACGGACAACGTTAGATACAGAATTATTTCTGTTAATTGCAATGGATTTGATATATAATTAAATAATTCTCCAAATGCTATCTTGTGCTCTTTGGTTACAATATCACCATGCTGATTCTTACGTAATCCCGCAAAAATAACATTAGTTCTAAGTTGTAGATATGTCGATAGCAAAAATATCAATGCACACATTAATTCCATAATTGTTAATTTGTGTGAAAGCAAACCTACATGCGAACCTGCACAAAAAAGTTGTATTAAATTTTAAAAAGATAATATATATAATATTTTATATTTTCAAAAGAATACCTCTAACAAATAATTCAGATTCCCCTATTATAGATAACGAAGTTGTCGCATAATGCAAATATATAATTACATAATATAGTATATTTATTTTTTTATCACTGTAGACACAAACGTAATATGTTTCATATGCTCTTTTATATCCATGGATGGCAAGCAAAACAGTAGCCAGAATTGTATTTTCTGCTGAAACTAAGACAATAATTATGAATACTTATGTATGTATATATATAGGTATATATATATTATTTTTATAGATTTAATAATTATTTCCAAATGAAGAAAATGCATACCTAAGGGTTTCCTTGATGTTCCAAGGAATATATCTAATAATGAAAGCAGACTTTCGGGAATATTTTGACTAAAGAAATATCTATTTAATGCAAAATACAACAAAGTAGTAAACAGCGGTCCAGTAAGAATATAACAGTGTCCAAACCATCTGAAAATTTGACATAATCAAATTATTACAGTTATTATCTATAAACAAAGAGTAAAAAAAATTCTTAATACCTTGAGTAAATTATTCAATTTTTGCAGAACAATATTTTGATTAAACTTACTTTTTTGGCATTTCGATTTTTGATATTATGGACTGATTAGTGTTTGCACTAAATTTTCCATAGCGATAAAGGCGAATTAATATAGGAGATAAATAGGATTCCATGTAATTCACTAATAACCCTAGTCCCGTGTATATAAATGTATAAAAAATTACAGTCCAGCGTATTATATTTATATCCATTTTTCGGTTTGTTGAGATCAGATAAATATATTAATGCAAGTGTTAGCTGTAACAAATATATAGGCTCAAATATATAAAACTTTGATTTAACTGTTTTTCGAAAGTTAAAGCATGGAGATGATCGATGGAAGACGTTTTCGTTGTCTCTTTCTGTTCATCGCAATAATCCGTTCTTATTCTCAAAATGAGCGAATAAATTGCTCGGTAACAATAGTAATAATAGTATTCTGTCAGATCGGCAAACATGTCATTTATTGTAATGAGTATTCCTCGATTTTATTACGAAACAATATATTGTAGTAGTCAACTTTCTACCGTCGTAAGAACGTGGATTACGCATTGTGCATCAATTTAGAGAAACAACGTATTCAATTAGCCTCTCAATTAAATCAGGTACGATGATAATAACCGATTATTTGTATCTCATTATATTATTACATTACATTAATTTACATTACTTAGGAGTTTTATATAAGATACACACACACACACACACACACACATACACACACACACACACACACACAACAAATGCGTAAATTAATGATAATATTCTAAGAACCATATAATGATATTATGTTAATTTTTTTATATGTTCTTTTAGTAAATGTAAATATTTTTTTTTAGCTAAGATAATACAATATAAAATATGTGCAGTTATGTTACGGAAAGAATTTTAGTTTTTATTATTATAATTAAAGTTAAAATGATGCGCGGAATCGCAGTCACTTTTGTGCATGAAAAAAATACTGTTCTAATTCATTAATTTATCAATAATGTAGATTCGCCAAAGTAGCCCAAGCAGGAAAAAAATGTTTAAAAAATGTTTTTAAAATCATTCGAGAAACATTTTTAAAACGTTTCCAAAAACGTTAAAAATAATGGGATAAGTCCCCTTTTTTTCATTAAAAAAAGCTTATTTTAACGTTGATAAGAATGTTTCTTCAATGTTATAAAAACGTTTTTTAAAGATTTGAAGAAAATATTTATTAAACATTAAAAGAACGTTTTTTTAAGATTTGCAGAAAATGTTTTTTAAACGTTAAATTAATCAGGAAGAAATGTTTTTAAAATAATTTGAAAAACATTTTCAAAAAGCATTTTAAAAAACGTTTATTTTAATGCTTATGATTGCGTTTCGGCACGCAGTTTACAATATTAAAAAAATATATTTAATAATTGATTCAACAGAAAATTTTATATTATTTAAGCACCAAGATCCAACCAATAGACAGGGTTGGGAAGTAACTCGTTACTTGTAACGAAGTTACAGTTGCAGTTATTTTTTTCGGTAACTATAACTTAACTTCGTTCCTTTTTCTTCATCTATAACTGTAACTTAACTTAGTTACACATTTATGGTAACTAGTAACTAATTTAACAGTTAATTTAATATTCTATATACGGTTGTATTAATTGTAAGAATTAGGGCCTATCCAGACAAACTTGCATAGTCGCATAAACATATGCATAAGGAAAGGAACACAAAATTGTCATAGAATTTATCATATTAAATGTAGATTCAATATTTGTTAAATAAATAGACGGATAAATGTATAGATATTAATTATGAAATTCAACAAAAATAAACAAATTTTCATTTAAAGAATGCACTGCCACCCAGTAATAAATTATCTTTGAGAATTATTATCATATAAGCATAAAGTTGAGATTTTAAGAAGAACTGAAACATTAGTCTATGATTTTTCGGAAAGTTACGACTGTTTGTGTGAAATTCGTGAATTTTTAAACTGAAAAATCTTAATCCTATAATTTTTATTCTAAGTGTATAATAATTTATTTTAAATTATTTATTAATTTAATATTTTAAATGTATTTTTATTTTAAGTTTAAAACAATTGTGATTTATTACATATAAAATAATATAACACAAAATTAAGTACCTATATAGTATAT